CATCACTTGTGATGAGTATCAACGGTCCGGTATCTCATCTCCTATACAGAAATCAGGCTCTGACAAGGCTGAAAATATAAATGAACTTTTGTTAAGAGCTGTAGAAATGATGAACAAAGAAGTCTTAAACATGAGACCAGATATAGATGAACAATTGTCAAACATGAGGCGAGATTCTCGTCAATTACAAGAACAAGTAGATGAATTAAAACAAAAGGGGACCCCCAAAGATAATGCAATCAGATATCAAGTGCATGGGTGTAGAGAGTCCCTGGGTTTTCAAGATCAGTCTCCTGTCATTGGGGCTGGGGAAAATATCAGTCACATGAATACTCCTGCAAGGGAGATAAACTACAATGAAAATAGAGTTCCTTCCCCTTTCAGTTCGAAACCAATTGTATCTATTAAACCACCAACATTTGACGGGTCAGAAGATTTTGGGGATTATCTAGCCCAGTTTGAAATCTTGGTTGATCTACATGGTTGGAATTATAGGGCAAAGTCACTATACCTAGCTAGCAGTTTAGCGGGAGGGGCTCGTGCGCTTTTAAGTGAACTTAACGAAGTCCAGCGCAGAGATTATGATTCCCTAGTCAAGATTCTTGAGAGGCGTTATGGTTCAGTTGAACGATCTGAAATGTTCAGAGCTAAGTTAAAGACAAGAACCAAGGGTGACAAAGAATCTTTATCTGAACTCGCACAATCTATCAAGAAACTTACTAGGCAAGCATATCCTACTGCCGATTCAAACTTGACAAATGTTCTATCATTAGATCACTTCATAGATGCACTTCCCGATCCGGATATGCGCCTTCGCTTGAGAGAAAGTAGACCCAGAGACATTAATGAGGCTGAGATTTTGGCTATAAGACTTGAAACTCACAAACTGGCTGATGCTCAGAGAGTAAAACTTGTCAATGCCATACATCCAGAAATGGATACCAATCTCCTCGCCTCAATCAAGCAAGAGAATAGGGTCTTAAGAGATGATCTTCAATCACTTACAAAAGAGATTAGATCACTCCTTAAAGATGGTCTTAATTCAAGACCTAACTTTTCTCATTCAAGCGAAGTGCATCCTCGGTTTGGGAATGCACAAAATGATCGACAGAACAATCAGTTTCGAGTTCACAGGCAGCCATACAATGCAAACAATTTTGAGAGAAGAAATGCTTACCAAAATAGACAATATCAAAATGGTCGCTTCCAATCTTCAAATCAGGGAAACTTTCCCGTGTCGAATTCAGGGGGCGGAAGTCGGCAAGGCGCAGGGGTAGGCCCCAATCATTGTTAAACAAAGTTGAAACAAGAGGACCTCTTCCTGCTGGAAGAAATGAGTGTATTAAAAAGAGTCCTCAAAATACAGTTAATGTAACTGAGAATGAAAATATGATGAACAATAAACCAAAAAATGATATTGAGAACAATAAATCAGAAAATAATGTTGAGAAAATTGTTATGTGTGAAAATGCACCTAAAAATGAAAGAGTAGGTGATGTAAAGGGATGTGGTGAAGGAATTTTTGTAGTAGGCAAAATTGAGAACACTCCGACTACAATGATGGTCGACACAGGAGCTAGTGTAACAATTATTAGCTCAGATTTTGCAGGCAGTTCAGAGTTAAAGGGCAAATTAGATTTGAACCCTTCATTTGTAAATCTAACCTCTGTTAGTGGGGAGAAAATAGCTGTCCTAGGGGAATGCCTAGTGAAAATATGTGTGGGAGATGTTACTGTGAATCATAATGTTTTAGTGGCTAATATCCAAAACAAATGTATTTTGGGTTTAGATTTCATGAAAGACCACAACTGTGATGTTCTACTGAACAAAATGAAACTTAGAATAAAGGGGATAGATGTTTCTTGCTTTACACATGAAGCTTTGAATAAGCAATGTTGTAAGGTATTTTTGATGGAAACTATAGAGATTCCCCCTCTCAGTGAATTTATTGCCTCGGCTAAAGTGGAAAACCCATTATTTAATGACAAGGTTACTTTGTTAAAGCCTGTGGCAAAATTTTTAGATAAACATGGTGTATTAGTTCCCAAGATTTTGGCAAAAGTTGAAACTGATAGAGTACCTGTTCGATACATGAACTTAGGTGATCAGAGTGTCAAAATTTTCAAAGGGACTGTTGTGGCAAATTTAGAAGATACTTCAGGGATCAATCAAAGTACTCCCCAATCAATAAATGTTTTGACAAAACAAGAAAAGAAAACAAATGAAAATGTTCCTGAACATTTGAAGTCTGTGTTTGAGAATTCTTGTAAAAATATTGATCAAGAACAACAGCAAAGTTTAAGAGAATTGCTAATAGAATTTCAGAGTAGTTTCTCAGTTAAATTTTCTGATATGGCTAGACCCTTGCACAAACTGACTGAACTAAGTCATAAATTTGTTTGGGGTGAAGACTGTCACAAATCTTTTGACAAGCTGAAGCGTGCCCTAACAAGTTCACCTATTTTATCTGACAAGGACTATGGGCAAGGAGGTAAACCACATTGTTAGTTTAACTTTAGATCCTTACGACAAAACTAAGAGCTTAAAAATACCTGAAAACTGCTCTGTTACAACCAAATCTTGTGCTAAATCTGCTCTGCCCTTTTGATATCCCTACAAAACAAACTGAAAATGTAACAAACAATGAAACTGTTGATGAGAATAAACCAACATGGTTTTGAAGTAGCTAGATAATATGAATATTTGACATTTGCTGATTTTTCGTATGAAATTTTAATTGTTTTCTTGAATATTCTCGCAAAAATGAGAAGAGATTATTTATGTTGAGTTTTTATACTGTCGATGATCTGTGAATATTTGATCTATAATATCTAATTGTATTCATGCACTTACTTCATGCATTCTATGCATCAAGCAGTCATATTATGAATCTTATTACAATGATTGATTGATATTGATATTATGCATCAGTGAAATATTGTTCAACTTACCTTTACTTACCTTTGATTTTTCTCTTCGTACATCGCTACATGTCATGTTGTTGAGAGTACCTCAGATAATGGGAATCCTAAAAAATATGGATCAGCAATGAAACAGATTGAATTATTTTGACGTATTTATACTTCACAGAATGTTTGACTGATGTCAATTTGAATTTGAATTGTGCAGTTGTTGTTTTCGCACAAATGCTACAAAACAACGCATAAATATATCTGCTTATAGTCAGATCAAATAGAATATATAACGAGCATTCAAATTCTACTTACTGACGGTTGCATTTAGTCCAGTTTTTGCAAGTATTTTGGACGAACTTCGTGAAACATTCAGTGGCGATTCATTTCTCAGCTTGAGGATTTGACGTCACGCCTTTTAATAAGTCGTACGAAGACATGTCACGAAATCTACTTTCGTTTTGAAAATACGACGAAGCGTCGTGCTTATTGAATTTGAGCATTGTAATAGATTGAATGTTATGTGATTCTACATATTTGATTTTGTTTAATACAATTTAAAGTTTGCTTATGATAGAGTGAACTTACAGTTTAAATTGGATATCCCGAAGACTATATTTCGAGATAACCAAATAATCGAGATATTGAGGTTTTTGTTCACTGAACATTAATTTAGATTGTTTGTTGTTGAATGTTTGTAGACATTCGGGGACGAATGTTAAATAGAGAAGGGGGCCGTGTTACGAATTTGACATTCTCCACTATTGTTATAAATAAGTAAACAAGATGTTTCTTAAATTGTGATATGAATCGTTAAAATTAATGATTCGATGAATGATTGGATGATTGATATGTATTGACATTTATTCTTACTTACTTATTATTATTGATTAATGTTATTTGAGATTTATTATGAGCAAGGTGCAAAGTGTTTACCTCGCTCCGAATTTCCTCCACGTTTGAGGGATACGTAATGTAAACACACCATTAATTGGTGTACAAATGCAATTATATAGTACTGAGTGTGCTTACCTTTTATAATATTGATAAATAATAAATTCATTCATTGATAATTAGGGTAAAACGTTATAATTACACTCTGCTTTTCACACTAAGCGGTAAAAGATGTAAACTACATTCGGAACACCTCAGATGAGTATGATAGTTAAGTGTATCCGAAGTTTTCCAGCTATTTGACGTTATGGCGCCAAATCTCATGCATTGAGTGATTGACGTCATAAAGGTTGTAAAGGCTTTATATACGAGCTCCCAGCGTCTAACGGTCAGACGCCTGCGGTCTCACCCACGGAAAGGTCTACCTGACGGACCAACTCCGAACAAGGCAGTCTCCCCATCACAAAGGGTTCTGTTTTAGACAGAGAGACAAATTGACATGATGGGTAATTATTAACCTGAATTTGTTAGCAACGTTTGATTGCGTTATTCATTCATTTTACCCAGACACAAGTAGTGGTCTGAACTCATCGTTATTGTTTATTGTTGAGTAGTATTTACTAAGGCACAAGAAGTGACCTGAACTTGATATTTATAACTCCTGACATTATTACTAACAACAAACTAACAAATGCATGGTGCATTGTATTGAGTTTTGTTGAGATGTTAGCATAACTTTTTGTCCCTATACAATTAGTTGTTTGCTACATCCTTTGAATGTTAACAAGTGCTAAACGCATTGTATTGAGATACTAGCATAACTTTTTGTCCCTATACAATTAGTTGTTTGCTATAACCTGACATTTTATATTTATAGTAATGTTAATGCACGACGGACAAAAACAGATAGCAATATAGGTCACCTGAGTTTACTCATGTGACCTAAAAATTTATCATAAAAAACACAAATTCTTACTTGTATGTTACAGTATTTTAATCAATCACAGACTGATGGCAGTATGTAAAATTAAACTCCCTTATAAATGCATTTTTAATACATGTATATAAATGAATCTCTGATTGACACATATTTCATAAGTATCTCATGAATGGAATTAATTCAGAATCCATTTATACATGATAAAACGTGTACATTTCTTTAACATTGTATGTTTGTTTTAAAATGAACATAAGAAAATTTAATGCTTTATTTTCTGTTCAAGGTTCTTAAAATGTTTTCATTTCAATGCATACCAGCGTAAAATCACTAATTTTTGTGGGGGTTTAATTTTTGTTGTTTTTGAGGTATGGAGATCCTCAAATGTATTTTATTGTACCACCATGAAATGTAAAATTGCATAATGCATTACACCCCCAAAAACCATTATTTCCTCCTCAAACCTCTAAAACTTGACCCCAAGAAAATAAGTGATTTTACAGTAATTATGAAAGAATGAAAAGTTAATAATCAAACAATCATGTATATATTATAAAAAAACAAAATATTCAACATTGAGAAAAATAGGATAAATAAGCCATAAAATCAGTACACATTAAACAACAAAGGGAATAAATTAAAAGCTTTAAAATGATTGAAGAATATTTCTTTTTGTACAAGACATTCTTTCAATTTAAGTTAATTTATAACATACCTGTAAATAGTGCAGTTGTAATTTTTAAGAACATTTATTTATACAAGTACAATGCACTCTAATTTAAGAACTTCTTCTTTCAGTTGGTATAAAATGTCAAAAAACATTCATCAGCATATAGATCTAAATCCATTCTTCAATTATTCAAGAAAATATAGGGCAAGTTCATTTAGAAAATGAGGTCAAGGTTATCAAGTTCAAGGTTAGTTAGTTTACACTTTGTTATATCAATCAAAACTTAATAGACTGCAAAGATGATAGACACTTAATGTTACAAACATTATGTTAAAGTCTCATTAAATTTCATTCAGTGGTAAAAGAGGAGTTGCAGATAAGATGGGTACCCCAATGCTCAACAGACAGACAGATGGAAGGACAGATGGATGTACAGCTAGACAGATGGACAGACATCCTGATCACTTGATTTGTTATAGACCTCTGTATTGTATGTGCATATATATTCTTACATAATCACTTGTGATGTACGATTCAAAACACAACCATTTGTTTGTTCACTTTGGTAACTTAATGCTTAAATTTGTATGCTTTCTGGGTCCAAAATTGGAAATAAATACTTTACTTACTTTAGTAAAGACAAAACATATGCATTAACTGGCACATTGATGCCAATTAAAATTTTGAAACATGGCAGAAATAAATGATAATAATATAATTACAAGACAAATAAATAAATACATGTATTAATGCACAATCATGGTAATCAAATATACATGAATCACTGTGTAACTTTACACATACTTAACAAAAATCATTTAAAATGGCAGAACACACATTTTATTACAAGAATTCTTTAAAGTAAAACATTTATGTCTGTTTTTTTATGTCAACATTACAGACTCTCAAACACCTCAGAGAATATCTAAAAAAGAAAGTTTAAACATCTGAGTGATGCCTATTATACAGAAAAAGTTGAAACTCTCCTTCTAATATGAAATTACAGATCTGGCATATTATTTCGTTTGATCAATTTTATTATCAATCAAAATTCAACTTTAAAATCACAACATTTGTGGAGCAATCTCAACAATCTTTGTAATTTTCGCTGTAATATTTAAAACGGGGTGGATCCGAAAGTAATTTAACTTCTGCCATAAAATCTTTACTTAATGTTAAATCATCAGTGACATCAAAATATGACCTCATAATAACACCACTAAATGTGACTTAAAAAAGCGAGTTAAAACTTTCTTTGTACCGAAGACAAACTCTTGAGATTTAATTGGCAAATTTTATTAATTTATTTGTACAGAAATGCCTATACCTTGCCTTAACTCACAGTGTGAGCTGAATGATAGAATCACATAAATGTTGGACTCTCAACTGGCTTTACAATGAGTGAATCTTGAATAAATTTCAAACTTGACCATGTGGTTCTAGAAGAAAATATTTAAAAATCTATTGATAAAGAACACTAGAGTCTGTTATGCTTCATCAAAGAATGCTCTGTGGAAGGATTTTTTGATTTAAATTTATTTGATTGGCAGACAACTACATATGCCAATCAAGCATCCGGCTAACTTGAGCTAAATAAGTGATATGAATAAATAAATATAGTTTGTAGAAGGAAAATAACACAGGTAAAATAAGTCTATGATAAAAGCAAAACAATGGCAATGAAAGCATTGAGTTACGCAAACAAGTCCTCTTCTTCGCTATCTTCCTCTGACTCAGGGGAGCTTTCTCGAGTGAACTTACTGATTCTACTTAAACTCTCCTGTAACAATCTCATATGACTATCACTTGGAGTGTCAAATATATCTGTGTCACTTGCTGATTTCTTCTCTTCTTTGTTTTCCGTGGGTCTCAGTTTTACTCCCTGTTTAATCATACTCAGGATATTGTCCATAGGATTCACTGTAAATAAAATACAGAGATATAGGTATTTATCCATTTCATGTACATGTACTGTAGTTGTCAACCTCATTTGATTTTCTCTGACTTTATATGCACAGTTTCTCATAACTGAATGCTAAAACAAACTTTTCAACTTAATAATATAAAATAAATGTTAAAGCTAGCTGTTAAGAGGTACCAAAACATTTTTTCTGTCACCGTTACAGAATCTACCGGTACTTCAGATTTCCGTAAGACTTACCTGGTATTGGTTTTTGTTTCTGGTGACTCTCACTCACAGGCTTCAGTTTGCCTTTTCCTGCCAAAATGGATCCCAGATCAGGTGGACCTGCCCCCTTTTCTTTAGGTTTCTCCTCCTCCTTTTCCTTCTTTACAATCACCAGTTTAGCTGGAGGACCGATAGCTGGAGGTGGCGGTGGTGGGGGTGGGGGAGGGGGAGGTGGTGGTACTAGAGGGGGTGGGGGCGGGGGTGGGGGAACACAAACCGAGGGTGGATCTACAGGTGCTGGAGGGGTGGGAGGGGAGGAGTTTTGTCTCTGTTCCCCTCCGTCTGAAGCGTAAATAGTAACTGGCATTGAATCCACAGCATCCTGGGATTTTCTAGGTCTGGGTGTAGGCTTAGATTTTCCAGTGCTCTTACTTGACTTAGAGGGTGACTTTTTTGGTGTGTTTGTTATTCTGATAGTTTTCTCAGAGTTTGTAAGAGGTTTGCTTGGCTTTTTCACATATGTTTTATCACAGACAGGCATGGACTGGGGAGAGTCTTCCAGAGCGGCCTTTTTCTGACTAGGTGGTTGATAGCGAGGAGGTTTTATTGTCTCTGGTGTTGGATATTTCTGAAATGAAAAGTTGAAAGAATGTATGCTTTAAAAAAAGCAAGTTATGTAGTTCTCCTGTCACAGGAGAGACTGCACAATTGACAAAAGTCACTGATTTCTGTGGGTCTATGTTCATAAAACCTCCACAAATCAAAGTACTTGTATAGTAAGTTATTTCTCTTTTGATTATCAGGCAACAAATTGGGTTCCTTGCATGAAAATTTGGTTCTATTTAAAGAGATGTACATGTACAATCTATTACTGAATTATCTGAACTGGGATGATTAACTTACTATTTTAAAGTCCTTAATGCGATTAATGGCCTTGGATCGTTGATCATTTATAAAACCACTCTTCTTCTCTTCCTCCTCTTTTTTGAAATCCCTTTTCTTGAAAAAATAAAAGTTAAACTCTATTTAAAAAAAAATTTACTGTGTCATATTATGAAAATAAAAACACATAAATCAAACATAGACACACCAGTACTTATGCTGGTAAAATTATTTCAAAATTGTTTTTCCAGTATGGGCTGTTGGTACAGTAATACATGTATATACATAGACCTAGAAATAAATTCTATGATTTTCAATTTTCCTTCTTTGTAAAATCCAGGATATCTACAGATTTCAGAGAGAGATCTTACAATACAATGATTTACCATCTGAATCGCATGATGTTGTTTGAACTGTATCTCTTCTTCCTTCTTCTTCTGAATTTTAGATTTGAATTTCCTTTCCAATGAGGCCTAATGGAACAATAAAAGTTTACATGTATGTTGATATTAGATGAACAGTACAAAAATGAAAACTTTTCTGGGTAAAAAAAATTATTTTATTTACTTCTTTATTATGTGAATTCATAGTTCCATGACTTGTTTCTTTTATGCATAATAAACTTTATTAAAAGTGCACATTCACAAGTACTATCAAACCTGATACATGTACTAGATTAATTTAAATCCATCCCTCAATTACTCACCTTAACATTGCGTATCTTGGCTCTCCTCCGCGTGATGGAGGTGAGTTTACTACGCAGCGCCAGGATACGAGGGTCTGCTGGGGACTTGAGCAGGGACTCCTCATCTGAACTAAGGTCGTCCATATCCTCAACAGCATCATAAAACACAGGGATGTCTTCTTTAGCTGAGAAGTTAACAAACACTGATATATCCTCAGGGTCAAATATAGATAATTTACCAAATAAGTTTGATCTATAAATACATATACTGCTTTATAGTCATTAAAGAAGAGCAAACTTTTTTTACCAAAAACAATTTATATATCCACATATTAATCACTCCTACCTTTTATCTGATTAGTAATGGCCTCCATCTGGGTTCTAACCAGTTTTTCTTCCTCGTCCAGGATGGCCATTTGTTGCTGCTGTACCCGGATTTGCCAATCAAACACCACCCCCTCCAACCTCCCCAGCTCCTGGATGGCCCCTAGTTTGTCCTCTACACTGGCTATCTGTAAACAATGGGAGAGGATGTCCACTGCTTAAAATACTGATAACTTTTAATCTTTTCTTACCTTACATTTTGACAATAATTATTAATTTTTTTTAATTATTTAAAATAAAACCTTCCCTCACCTCCTCCTTTACTTTATCCCGTTCTTGTACAAATAACTTTTTCTCATTGTTTAATAACTGAAGACACTCTAAACAAAGGTCTTCTTTTATTCTGAAAAAAAAAATTATTAGTTTAAATTATTAAAATTCTTCACACAGAAAGCACATATTAATAAATCATTTACACATTCCAAATTAAAATGGAATAAGGGGGGAAAAGAAACAAAACATGTATACAAAATATAGACAAAAAAGAAATCAGAGATCTCTTTAGAGACTGTAGCTCTACTGACTTATTCAAAGATACACTTTCCACAAAGTTGGTGAGAGCAGCTGCCTGTAACTGAATCACTTTATAATTTTTGACATACACATGATTTCTAAACTTGTAACAAGTTTTACTGAAATCAAATTCAAATTAAAACTAGGAGCATTTTTATCTTGAATTTACAGATTGAAAAGGGAATATTAGCAGATGATGTTTACCTAAAAAATCTTTCAGCACCAATCAATTCAAATGCAGTTTTCCCAAATTTAGTTTGATCTTCTTTCATTCTTTTTAACATATCTAAAAAAGTGAAAAATTCATCATAAAGTCTATAATCAAATGAGTCTTCCAAAACCAATTATGCATCTACCATGTTTACAAATACCCTTCAAATTCACTTCACATAACATTTATTAGCACTAATTAATTAATCAATCTTAAACAGTCCTGAAAATGGAGTCTTTACCTTCATAAATTCTGGAAGTTCTTGTGTAATATTCAATGTAGTACTTCTGAATGTTGTCTAGAGCTTCCTCGTAGTGTGTTTGCCACTCTGTAAACATGGCCCCGTATTCTCGCTTTACGCGAGCCCCGACATCGGGGTTCTCCAGCTGCTCCTTGGCCTCCGTGACACGGCTGTACGCCAGTTCTCTAACGTCCAGGAATGGCTGTAGGAGGTAATTGTAGAGGGAGGCCAGAGCAATGTTCAGCTTAAAGACCGCATTGTCTTCAGATTTATACACATCCTTCATATCAGTCATATGACTTGCATTGCTACGTAAAAATATCACATTCTTTAATTCATCTTCCGCTTTGTGGATTTCATCCTCGTATCCTTGGCGACGAAGTTCACTGATGTTTTCGAAATATTCCTCAGCTGTGTGCTCCTCATACTCAAACAGAGTTGACATCAAAAGTTTTTCTTTGCAGATTTCCAAAGCATAACACAAGTACTCTTCTATCTGTGAACACACTTTTGAGTAATCTATATTGCACTCTTCATAACCAAAATATGTCCATAGGGACCTAGGCTCCTCTGGAAGGGGAGGTAAGTGGGGGCCCAGGGCAGGATGAACATGGCAGAGTAATTGGTGAATGGCTTCTAATTCATGGAAGGAGAAAATGCCAGTCCTTGTTCCGAGGTTATCTTTGTCACTGACGACACGGCTGTGAAGGCGGCTAGTAATGACCACCCTCTTCTTCTCATCATTCCAGCAGACCAAGAAATTGAACTTTGGCGGATTCATCTGGTCAGCAAATGGTCCCTCCTTGACCACCATCCATCCCTCCAGACTGTCCACCTGATCCCCACACTCCATCGCTAGCCTCTCTATAAACAAACAGTAAAACATTCACTGCTTCTGTTTGCTATTCTTTCTTTTATATAAATTGTCTCATAATAAGTAAAAGAATCCTCATTGTGCTGAAAGTATTGAAAAAATCTTAAACAATTCCATTATTAAATTCAAATATAACAGTAAGGTTCCAGCTTTTAATCAGATAGAACCTAAAAAATGTTTTGCTACCAAGTGATTTTGGGCTATGTAGATGTTTGTTTTGTTGAAATAATGTAATATTAATGAAAAGGAATACACACTGATTATATCACAACCATTGTAATTTTAAGAAAAAAGAGAGAATACTGTAAAGTAGATTTTGATATACCTTTCATTTGTCTCAGTGCATGATTATTCAGAATGTGAAACTGCTTGGAAAAGTTTATTTTAAATAAGAATTTAGACATAGACAGAAATTTCAATTTGGCTTCTGATGACCTGTTTATACTAGTTGCTAAATTCTCTTCATCTTGTGCGGAATTCACAAGAGGCTGAGTTTCACAAGTTCAGAGTTCACTAGTATACCAGATGCGTATACATCAACAGCAGATTCTGAAAATTCTGAAAATGAGTTATTTCTATACTTAAGACATTATGAAACAATATGCTATTTAAAAAAATGCATGTGGTTACGGCTCATTTAATTTAAGGATTATTTTTAGTATTTAGAAAAACAGAAGCATCAGATAAGCCTGCAGGTCTACAGGTTTTTATTGTACCCCAGTCCATCTCTCTGTCTGTATTTCTGTCTATCTGTAACACTTTCATTTCTACATGATATCTCAAGAAGCTTTTGAGCTTTTGCAATGCAATTTTACAGAAAAAACTTCCAAAGATTTAAAGATGACCCCTACTGATTTTGAGGTTGAAAGGTCAAAGTTCAAGGTCATAAATTCTGTCGGTTTTAACACTTTTGATTCTGTGTGATATCTTGAGAAGCATTTGAGCTTTAAATTTCAGTGAAATGAAGCTCCCAATGGCTTAAGAAAAACCCTTTTTAATCTTTATGTCAAAAGGTCAAATGTCAAGGTAATAAATTTATACATTGTTTATTTATGTGTGTAAAATTTTCATTTCTGTGCAATATCTCAAGAAGCTTTTGAATTTTTGCAATCAAATTTTATAGCATAATCCCTATAGCCCCACCTGCCCATCTTCTTCAAGCGTCCCTCCCTGTTTTGAAAAAGTTTCACCCAATTTTAGTAACCATGGCAACATCAATTATCAAAATCAAAAGATGATTTAAAAATTATTTTTCTTAGTGTTGTCTAAATACTTATGTACCAAACTTGAAGATTCAAAAATTGTAAGAAAATATTCTATTGAAAAATCTTCTACTGAACAGATATTATAATAGAGATCATGGACAACTTATGATCCCTGACCAGTAGAACTAAAAAGAGCATTAATAAAATTATATAATTTCTAGAAGACATCTTAAACAGTTAAAAGAAAAACTAATCAACCCTGTCTGTTTCACTTAAGGATATCAATCAGGAGTTATGTGCAGACATTGCTTACAAATTTACCCTTCCCTCCCTTTTTGGTTATGCCATCTTAAACGGTTTTTATCTGATTCGGAATAAGAACGAAAAACTGATGAAAAATATTTTACAAGTTGAGAAATGACGCAGTCACGCTGTGTTGTTATTTTAAATGATTACTTTTATATGACAATAAAAATGCATGCATTTCTATCCCCCATTACAGACGTGTTAGATTTTTTTAAACTGTACATTGGCTTTATATTAAATATGTTCAAAGATGCATCTTACTTTTAAAGAAATCAGCTGTTCTCTCGGGTTTCAAAAGCCATAAAACAAATTATATCGATATTCGTTCCCATAGGCATTTCGTTACCCATCGTTTTCATAATCATGCTTCTGTTGGTAGTTAATGTTTATCAACCTTTGTTTGATCGTGTTGTTTTAACACAAAAGAAGACATTTTGTGCTAAAAACGGTACATGACACTATCACCTGCCATTAAATTCAACTTTTGTTTGTCGTAAATATAAACAAACCGAATGTAAACAAATGATAAATTTATAATCAATATCTTTACATTGCATATAACAAAAATAAAGAATAATTTTACGGATTTAAAACTTATCTACAAAACATCTTATATTGAGTGATGTATAAAAATTTTTTGTTTTGCGACAACAGCAATGCTGATGGACTGGGTCAAAATTAGAAATGTATATTTCACAAATTTTCCTTTTTCTTGATTTAAGTGCGACAATCTATATGTGTTGATGTAATCATTTCATGGAAAATACAGCTATTATAGTATATCAGCCTGAAATCAAACCAGCAGCAAAATACCGCAAAAATGAGATTAAGAGTTCTTGAGATAGTCGCTTACAATTTAAAGCGCAATCTTGATTCTGATTTACTTTCCACGTTGGCCACGCATGCGTCTAAGTAATTCAGCAAAGATGGCTACAGAGAAAGATGTTGACGAACTTTTTGAGATAAAAACTGCTTTATATACGGGGAATTATCAACAGTGCATCAATGAATGCCAAAAATTAAGGGTAATATTGTGAGGATTCATGAAAAAATATGTTATTTTGTATTTTTAACGAATATTTCTATTGAAAGGAAGATACCGGTACCACATATGTTGCATGTTTATTCTGTCAAAATAAATAAAGATTTAAATTATTTATACCTGACAGGTCCAGTACAATCTCTTGATTTAGCTATATAGCTTGTAATATCTGTAAAGCTTTTAGGCTATTCAAAATACCTTGTTTATGCTATTTACAAAAAATATATTGTCAGAAATAGACAAAAAGTCACATTATTAAAGAAAACAAATAAGTAGTGTATAGTATATATAGGCCTATAAGATCTTTCATGATTTTCGTTGGATATGATTTTCGTCCAATGAGTTGTGTGTTTTTCTATCCCCAAGCCTTGGCGAGGGGATAAAAACACACAGCGAGTTGGATAAAAGTTATATCGAACTACAAATCAAGGGAGATTCTTTTTTTCCCATGTTTAATACTTCACAACAAGGTTTTACACTGTTTTTGTGTAGGATTCCACTTTACTTTACTTCATTACGGTGATGCAAAAACCATTGTGACATCCCAACTGTACTTAACTTGGGATATCAAAAAAAATATCCAGAGTCATATACATGGGATAAAGTAGAGAATGTTCTATCATTAAAATGATATTGTCCTGCGGACCCGGTTTAAGGATAGAATTCGTTCCGTGTATTTGTAATGTAGCAGAAAGAAACACGGGCGATAACTCGCATAGTGCATTTACTAGGGTGCGTCGATTTACCCAAAAGGACCCAAAAGGAACCCAAAAGGACCCAAAAGGACCCAAAAGGAACCCAAAAGGACCCAAAAGGAAATCAAAAGGACTCGAATTAATATATTATAATACATTGAAAATTAATAATTTGAATTAAATTATGAATATTATATTATAAATTTACCTAAAAATTGGCAAAAACATACATTTATATTGTTGCAACTTTTCTTAAAGAAATAACATACAACTTTTATAACACATCAATCATTAAATCTGGTCAGAAATGCTTTGATTTCTTTTAGCTGAATTTAACAAAGTGCACTGTATTATTCTATTTCTCCTTCTGTTTTATTATATCTTATTATATGATATTTGATAAATAAAGAAATAAGTTTATTTAATGACATGTTCTAGGCATATGGTATCGGGGATTGGTGGGGGTGGGGGATGGGGGGGCTCCCACCTCAACCCAAACACGCACTTTACCCTCAAAAAACTAGTTTTAGTTTTAATAAAATATGAAAGTATTCATTATATATCCATTTAATTTCTTTATTTCAAGTCCTTTTGGGTCGTTCTTAATTTCCTTTTGGGTCCTTTTGGGTTCCTTTTGGGTCCTTTTGGGTTCCTTTTGGGTCCTTTTGGGTTCTTTTGGGTCCTTTTGGGTCCTTTTGGGTAAATCGACGCACCGCATTTACTAGGAACAATCTAGAGAGTTCCGAATGTAAACATAGCAGGTAATTTGAATCGAGAGAAAAACGTTGAGAAAATTAATTGGATTTTCGTATTTATATGGATTATTTTTGGGGATAAAAGGCATAAGCAATCTCAAGAAGGTTTGTTTTGATTATTTTGGTAGTTATTCCCAGTGCAAATCATTTTACCGTAATTAGGGGAATACAATACGCACTTTTTTCCTAAAATAAATTTCTGTGAGAAAGGGATGCGTATTTTACATCACAATGGGATTTTGACAAGTTTTTCTTTCAGGTGAAAAACGGCTATCATACGTACATACCGTAGTATTACCTAGAGACATATGCAATTTCTTTTGTTAATTGCCATATTTTAAAATTCGGAAAGTTATTGTTGGAAGGCATGCTTCTTAAAAATGTCACTTTCATAATCTTTTTATGCCCAAATAACATGAAAAAGTAAGTTAAAAGTAATTTGAGCTGCATGTTGATTGTCTCCGAGGAGGCCGCCATTACCGATGTTATTGTTAGATGTTCACTCATAGCTATGTCACGTTCTTCCGGAATGATAGTGCACATGCATCTTATCTGCCAGACAAAGTAATAAATCATTTTTTTAATGAAATACAATAAAATAAATATTTATTTTAGGTTTAAAATAACTCAGTGATAATCTGCAACAATATTAACACCCCTCCGTACGTCCCAATGAAAGGAGGCCAATGTTGTGACACATATGCGCTGGTCAAATGATAATTACCTATCAACACCCCTCGGGGCAATTAATTGTCTACCGACTTCAAAGCAATGATTTTACAGTTAGAGCACTGATTATTTACTGCCATGTGCATGTGTTGATTACGGCACTTAAACAATTAAACAATTGTTAAATGTAATTTTACCTTATCTTATACTTATCGGCCTCTTGTTTAAATAATTGAGAGTTGAGAAATGAAATATAAATTATGCTAAAACTTTTAATAAAAGTGGTATCATTTAGAAAATAAGATATCCGCGAAGATTCAGAAGAGGAAAATCGTAGTCTTCTTAAAGAAATAAATACTTTGATGTTTCAATTTCGTTTCCTGTTAAAATATTGTAAGATAATTTTAAGCATGATTATCTAGAACTAAAATTAAATATGACAACTGATAAAAGTTTCGACAATATCTCTTGCTTTGTTGAAATAAAATTATTTCATCTAAGAATATGGCGACGCATAATTTCAAAATCACCGTAACTATTCTTTAAAAAAATCTGTTTATACTTTTAAGCAACATTATCTTGTGCTTTGTTGAAATAAATGAATAAATAATTTTCTCCAGATTGCCGCGATACGGAATGTCAGGATTAAGAGAAAGTTATAAAGTGTGTATTTTAAAAAAGTGTGTTCAGTAAATTTTTGACACCTAATCCTCGCGCCGATTTTCGTAACAAATTACCGTGATTTTCATAGTTCAGAACATCGCTTGGTAAATTTTTCTGTTGTGTATAATACATCCCAACTGCGTTTTTTTCCCCAGTTTCAGACTCAAAAAGGGGGGTGCGTATTTTACATCAATGCGTATTATACTCGGCCAAATACGGTATATTCTTCAAAATCGTTTCGGAGCGGATCCGCTCCGATTTGCTACATTGCAAGTATATGGGACGTATTCTAACTGTGGTGAGGGCCTGTACCAAGACACAGTTAGATTATTCTAACTAGGGATAAAGGAGTAAGCATGGGATAAAAAGCACTACTCCTCCACTAAAAATTATCTTGTATTTGTTTCAGCTGTCCAACCCAGATCTTAAAACAGCTAAGGATGTTATTATGTACAGAGCTTATGTCGCTCAGAGAAAATATGGTGTTGTTTTGGATGAAATTAATTCTTCACACCCTCCAGAGCTGCAAGCAGTTAAGATGTTTGCTGACTATCTATCCAATGAAAGCAAGAGGTAGTAGTAGTAAAACTTAACATGTTTTATAGATCTATACCCTTTAATCAAATTTCTTTGATTTACCTGTAATTACCATTACTTTTGATATGGATTTTCAACCAGATAATATTTGTTAAGTCATAAGATATCTAGCTTTATTATACTTCTGTTAAAATGTTTCCTATATAAAGTTCAGAAGGTAAAATAACTATCTTTTATAGTCCACGCATAGCAAAACTATACCCCGGGGTATAGTTTTTGCTATCCACCGTCGGAAATTTTTCATGCAATTTTTGCCGCCAATTTTGATTTCCAGCAATAGATCTATAGACTGATGATGTCATGATGACTCCAGTAGCATTGTGACGTCATCAGGATTTCAGATTATTCTTGCAGTGTTATCTTACTGCAAAAAAAAAAAAATCAAACCTCAGAAATTATATTATACATCAGTATAATAAAACGCTTATCCACTGGTTGTGAGTGGGATAGCTCTTTTATCAAACCCTTGACAGGAACTATTCCCCTCGGGCAAGCCCTCGGGGAATAGTTCCTGTCGTGGGTTTGATAAAAAAGCTATCCCACTCACAACCAGTGGATAAGTGTATAATACATACTTGTATTCAAACAGTATCAAATTTATTTTTATTCCCAATTTTTCTTAAGAAATTCATTGATACATGTTTAAATTTTATGAGACACTTGCATGTTTAGAGTTGGTTAATTTTAGAACATGCAGTGATATTGTCATTATTATCAAACTCCCAATTTAATATGAAAATCTATCCATTCATTGGAAACATTTTGGTAGACTAGTCATGTTGTTTTAAAAAAAAAAGAAACTTTTAGAGTATCATGTTTAAAAAAACATTATGTTTTGTTAGTTTAATGTCTTTCCTCTTTTTGGCATTTTAATTTTTCTTCATCACAAGGTTTTATGTAAAGTCATTAGCTTATATTATTTCCAGAAGCCAACAAATGATTTGAGAAAGCTTTTATTTCATTGATATCTGTTATATATTTATTTAATCTTTGATAGGGCATCTATAGTAAGGGACTTGGACCAGAAAATGAGTGCCAGTGTGGATGTTTCCAACAGCACATTCTTAGTCATGGCTGCCTCCATCTACAACCATGAACAAGTTAGTTCAGTAGTTTTGTACAATTGGAAGTTAAGCATACAGTAGAGGATTGCAATAGGATACTGTCTGTTTTATAAAGACTATTACTATTTTCAGTAAAACTTGGTTATAGCAAAGTCCTAGGGAACTGTGAATTTTCTTTTCATATACATAATTTGTCATATTCATATAACAATAAAAGAATTGTATAAAAAGAAATTTCACAGTATACATGTTTTCTTTTGGGTAGAACTACCAAATATGTTCAGAGAAGTATCAAATATTTAAAAATACTTAAAACTACAAAACTTATGAATCAAATTTTAAAATAAATTGGTACCAGTTCAATATTTGGAAAGTTGAGGTCACTAGAAATTCATCAAAAAAGATATAAAATTCATTATTTTTTTCAAAACTTCTATGGGAAGGAAAATCAGTTTGCTATATCATTAAATATGTAATATTGTTGTTTGTTTTATACATATATTTGTAAGGGATTCAAAAGAACATTGCAGGAGATCTCGAAAAACTTTGCTATATCTGTATTTTTGCTACACATGTATTTGAAATAAACAAATTTTGCTGTAAAGTTTGTTTCCAAACACTGCTTATTATCATCAAAATTGATTGTGTTGTTCAACTTCTTTATAAATGTTCTTGAAGTTTTTAACAGTTTAGTTAATTATTTTTTTTTTGTAGAACAGTGATGCTGCACTTAGAGCCCTACATCAATCTGATGCACTGGAATGGTAGCGTTTTATATTTGTAGCTGTTTAATTAAACCTTTCTACAAGATTAAAATGTAATGGTAACTTACACTTAAAGGATCAAATTCCACTTCTAAGAGGCCCCCTGCTAGTGAATTTTTATAATCCCTTGTAACTCTTGGGGGAATATTGTAACATGCTTTGTGTGGTGTTTGAGATGAGAGATGGTGTGCTAAATGGAACTTATACAAATAATAACTACTAAATTCTTTTTCCAATATTTCAGCATTGGTCTTACAATCCAGATATTACTCAAGTTAGATCGAGTTGACCTTGCAAGGTAGATATAAGTACATTACATATTGGAATTCGAAGCAGGACACAATTTTAGCAATATAATAAATGGTACATAACAGGGAGAAATAAAATTTTGCTAAAAAATCTGTTTTGCTGTATTTCTTAATTCCTGAGCTACTCTTTAATTTTCTTAACTCAGTAAAGCTGATCTTTGTGTAAAATTTTCCGTATGAAAACTGTAATCAGTATTTATTAATGTCATCACAATGATGATAATAATGAAAGAGTTCTATTTTTTGGCTTGGAAAAAAAAGATGATCATTTTGATGTAAAATGAAAGCATGTTTCATAAAGGAAATAGGTATAAAAATATCATTTGAAAGATGATCCTCTTGTATACGTCTTTACTAGTTTGTAAATTCTAAACTAACTGTTCATTTGAATTAAAGGAAAGAGCTGAAAAGAATGCAGGAGATAGATGAAGACAGCATTCTCACACAACTGGCACAGGCCTGGTTTAACCTGGCTGTGGTATGTATTACATTACAGGGTTCAACATTAATGTCAGACTGATATCTTTTCAATCGGACAAATAAAATCTCTGGCTAATTAGTCCAAACATACTAATGAAAAGAACTTTATTCGGTAATAACCAATATTTGCCCCCCGAATCAAACTTTGATGGAGATATATTTAATTAAGTTCTTAAACAGGGGAGTATATGCTGACTTCAAAGCACTGAATATTTTCATAAGTAATGACGCCATATGTACTTAATGACGTCACAAACATGACGTAAATTTCAGTTTTTTATGAATTTTACAGAAAAATGTACATATTTCGTCGATATTTTGAGTAAAAGTCACCGAGCGCATGTGTGTTCAGGATCAATATTTTGATATAATGTGTAGAATGATAATATTAATGAAATATGTCAATATTGTTCCTGAACAAACTTGCGCTCTATAAATTTTAAAGGTAAAATTGTTGAAATTTTGTCCATTTTGTCCTCTTTCTGAAAAAGGATATAAAATCGGACTAGTTTGTGACGTCATAAAAACAAAAATTGTGAATACACTGCTTTGACACTATAATATTTTCTGTCAATTTATATTTCTTATACAATTTATTGAATTCAGCACATTTTAGGAAGTTTTCAAAATTTGACTTTTGTGGGGGCAAATATATGCAATATACCGCATATAGTTCTTTCTGGAAAACAAAATGAATAAATGACAAGTGTTTGGATTTTCGACAACTTTACTTGAAAACCTTTAAAAAAGTATAAAAAGTACATTGTAATAATTATTGTTAAATTTACAAAGTACATTGTAATAATTATTTAACTCGAGCGCTAGCAACTACGTTAGTTCCAAATTCTTTGAATACACATGCTCGGCTTCATGGTCGTGCATTCTGGGAAAACTGAAAACTACTATAGATGGACCGTACGACAACAATTTTGTTGTATCATTTAATATCTATATTTATTCTGTAACTTACAGTTCAAAGATAAGTCGACATATTTGTAATACTTCAAATTTCCCTTTTTTCTGACGGAAGAGCCCGAGTCAATATCTGATTGTTCTAAACAAAGACAAGGGACGTCTAAGCACAACCAAAGATAGGCTCTAATTTCTGATTGGTCAATTCAGCCGATCCTGATGTGCATGATTTTTTAAAACCTAACAGTTCTTGACAAAGATGACCCAAAGGACCAAGCTACACTACTTCACAACTTCACTTTGAGTTACATGTATTTCTATAAACCTATTAATTCCGCTGTATTTTCTTTGCTACATTGCCAAGAAATTCTATTCTTATACCTGCTCATTCAATGCCTCAATCGGCATCTTCACCATATTATATAGAGTCTCCCCCCTCTCCAGGAAAGGTCATAAATGTTCCGTTGTGCCAAACTTCAATAGGTCAACACAAAAACTTCAACCCCCCCCTTCGTTTCTTTACCAAGTGTCTATAAAATACACTTCACAAAACAATTATAACTTGATCACAGTCTAGCCTCGATAAACATTGAAGAATTCAGCAAAATAAATCACTTGATCACGGACCTTCCTTTCTGTGTTTAAAAATTGCTATGGCGCTAGCTCACCTATCTTCTTTAAAAGATAAACTTGTCATTTTAAAACATTGATGTTTCTTGTTTGGATGGACTCATTAAATCGCATGCGGACTGGTAAAAGTAAAATATTTAGAGAATGTTCATACCTCTATGTACATGTATTTATATTACATTATAGGGAGGGGAGAAATATCAGGATGCCTATTACATTTTCCAAGAGATGGCTGACAAACACAATTCCACACCTCTGTTATTGAATGGCCAGGCAGCCTGTTACATTGCCCAGGGCAAATTTGATGATGCCGAATCTGTACTGCAAGAGGCCATGGACAAGGTAATGCTAAAGGGTTTAGGTATTAAGGAAAATTTTCCCGCTGTTTTAATATAGCCTATTCACCCTCGAGCTGGTCCCAAGTGGTTGAATTTGATTTAGGGTAAATTCAAAGAAGAAAGCATTATATCCTTAACACAACTCTGTCTGGGTTATTTTTAAAACAAGGAAAATGTTTTCAAGTGTGAAAGAATGAAAATAAAATAAAATGCCCCCCCCCTCCATATTCAGTAGAATAAAATTATGTAATTATCAACATTTATAAAGTATGTTTAATTCAAACTAAGTAATTATTTATTCACACATGTATATATGAATATACTGATGAGCCCGCATGGGGCGAAAGCGCTTTAGATAAAAGTTTGAGTTTGTCGTTTGAATTTGGATTTTATTTTATCCCTATGAAAAATAATTTTTTGAATATGAATATATGTATATATTTGGATGATGAAATGAGATATGTTTTATTGAAGGACTCCAATAATGCAGAAACTCTTGTGAACATGATTGTTTTAACGCAGCATATTGGAAAACCACCAGAGGTTCGTGAGTTTTATAGACATGGGGATTATTTTATATACTGAAATGAATGTAAATAATGTATAGTGTCAATTATAATCATATTAAATTATGATGTAAATGAAAAATGTTGTCATCTGAAAAAAATAATTGCACGGAAAACCCTTTTATTGCATTAGTAAATTTCTATTTGAATATATTTAAATACCGTGTACCAGTAATTATCATTTTGGGGATTACTGTTTGAGAATTTCTTTTGTATTGACAGGTCAGTAACAGATACGTATCCCAGCTGAAGGACTCTCATCGCAACCATCCATTTGTCCGGGATTATTTACAAAAGGTCAGCACAACCATTTATCAAAGTCCAATACTAGGAAACCATATACTAGATATAGCTTTTTTCTAAATGAAAATTAATGAAACCTATTTGAATAAAAAAATTTGAGCTCAACTGAGCCATGGGCTCAAGTGAGAAAGAGTAAAATGTAAATATAAGAAATGTTAAGTTTAGTATGAATTATTGGTTTGTAAATCACAGAGACTTGCATGTAGGCATATATTTTTCATAAAGTGTTAGCTCTTTGTACAAACAATAAAGATATGTAAAAAAAAAATTTATTTCAAGAGTAGTAATGAATGAATGAATCAATCATTGGACCAAAGGATTTGGATGGGCTTAAATTAGAGATAAGATTTTGCATAATACTACCGGTAGTATACAGAAAATTTTTTTTTAGAAATTTTCTACAGAACAGTAAGGCCATAGTCTTATTAGGGCCCCGCAAGGATTTGCGGGTGCCCTATAGTAATCACTCTGTCTGTCTGTCTGTCTGTCCGTCTGTCTGTCCGTCTGTCACTCTTCCGTCCACAATTTTTCTGTTTTTTTCTAATAACTTTTTTTGTGGTTGCCCAATCAAGTTCAAATTTGGTATGGTTGTTCAGTAGGCAAAAATACATATTTTGATGCTAAGTTTGGTTCTCTGTGTCTTCTGGTTTGGAGCTGGGGTGGTGGGGTAGATTCCTTTACTATGCATAAGAATGAATGGGCAACTTTTTTTATGGTTGCCCAATCAAGTTCAAATTTGGTATGGTAGTTCAGTAGGCAGAAATACATATTTTGATGCTAAGTTTGGTTCTCTATGTCCCCTGGTTTGGAGCTGGGGTGGTGGGGTACATTCCTTAACTTTATATAAGAATGCATTGGCAAAGAGAGATAACTGCTGAAGATGTTCCCATTGTAAACTGAATGCTGCTATATGAATCCCTTGGGATTAATTAGCTTTCCTCCTGAAGAAAATCCAGAGCATTATCTTTATCTGTCACATTGAGATGAATTACCACCTCTGTCTGCAAATGAAGTTTGTTTTGAAGTTAAGTCAATTTGGAATGCTATGAACACTCTGAAATGTGGATTTGAATATAAATTTTCATAATTTATTTTTGTTTAATAGTTATGATTTCATTGAATTCTAAAAACAAGAAATAGATTAAAGAAGATTTTTTGATTTACTTTTGTTACTTATGTTAATTCAAGAATATTATTAATTTTTAAGGTAGTTGTATAAAAACCCCATTCTATCATTAATACTGAAAAAGTTCTTATTGTAACTTTAAAAGAAAATGATGAGAGAGGTACAATTAATCCCTTGGGATTAATTATCTAGCCTGCTGCAGAAAATTTAGTAGGCTTTTCTTTATCTGTCTTTAAGATTAATGAAAACCTTTGTCTGCAACTGCTGTTTGTTTGAAGTTAAGATCAAGCCTTCATGATATTTGCATTCATTGAAGGCTGGATTTTATATAACACAAGCTTCATAATTGTTTAAATATACATTCAATGTTAAGTCATTCTTTACTGCCTAATGTAGGTACAAGGATATTATTTTCAGGTTTTTGAATGTTCAGGAATTATCTTGAAATTTTAAGAATACAGTTGCTGTTGCTTATTCTTCGTACATTTATTAATCATTCTGTAAGCTGCACCCTTTAATTCTACCCCATGGCGGGGCCCTTGCTGACTGGTCAGTTTTCTAGTTGATTTGAAAGCATCTCAGTGTTGTGTAAATTCTCTCATAACTCCTTAAGGCCTAGTGGGAACACCAATATTAAGTTAAATTTGTCATTGAAATAAAGGGAAGAATCTTCAAAATCTGCAAAGGCAGTGTGAATCATGTTAGTTTTGTAGTCCATGGTCCTCTATTTGATATAAAGTACCTATTTAAATAAAAATTCAAAGTAGGTTAAAGTATTTCTAATTGTTACTTAATATGTTCTTTTTGTTTTGACAGGAGAGTGACTTTGACAGAATTTCTCGGAATTACTCTCCATCTGTATCAGCCTAACATACAAACACTATTTTATCTTTGTTTACTGTGAAAAAAGACTTATGAATGTTCCTGAATGTGAAATGAAGAACATGTAATAGAAAAAAAAAATGTTTTAAAATCATGGCAGATGTTTCATTGCATAAATACATGTATTTATTCATCTTTAATATTGTGTTTCATTCTTTTTCATTTGATTTAAGGATCACACAGTGGTAATATTGTAATAAAGATCTGAAGAAAGCATAAATAGAAAATATGATCAAAGAATATTATCCAATGATCGTTTTGATGAGGTCAATCCTTATATATATATATCAACTTAAGGAAAGCATAGCGACCAAGGAGGAAGTGCGAGGTTGACATGATTTTTTTCAGGTTTACATACCATATAAGTGGAAATTTTAGTGAGACGCAAATTTAGCGATTTCTACCTAAAATCTGGTATTTTATTTTTAGTAAGAAGTAAATTTAGCGATTTTAAAATGCTAACTAAAGAATCTATTGCAAATAATACGCAATTAATTTTTTAGCGATATTCAAATTTAGCGATGTCAGCACCCTCACTAATAATGCCAAAATTAAATCCTCGCTAAAAATTCTACTTATTCGGCATCTATGCATTGTACCAAAAACAAAAGGCTGTACTTGTTTTATTTTTTAAATCAATATAAGAAATACCCCCAAAAAATCAATGTTTCTAACTTTCAAAGTACTCTCAAATACTTCAATACTTTTCTCATATAAGGCATTGTGATGTTATTCACATTATGATGTCACCGTTGTTATTAGCAGCTGCAGTATCTGTTTGTAGAAACGTCCGGTTTATAAAGACTATTTTGACATCAGCACTCTCGTTACTTCCTAGAAGAATGTATCCAATTTTAGAAAAAGACGAAGGTGCTTGTAATATGTTATTCTCCTTTAACATTCAAGACTACTAGTATTTCAATTTCATAATGCTTGTTTTCAATACTTGGACACTTAGAGGTAAATTTTTTATTCATAGGAAACAATAACACTAAGGCCTCAACAGTAAGGTTTTCATCACATTGGATGTTTGAAACCTTTAAATAGTCTACTTGAAAAGGTTGAAGAAAGTTCATTTTTTATTGCTTGACACCAGAATACAGGCTTGGATCTGTGGTTATGGATAGTACAAATCATAGGCTTTTTAAACCTGCAGGTTTTTACAGAGGAAAATGCATGTAAAGCAACCCGTTTTTTCCTTAAACTCCAACCTGCCAACAAAGGACTGAATGTGGTTACTATAAGTAATATTCTTAATCGCAAAAGAGTCCAGTCTTCTATTCCACGTTATTTCAAGTTGAAGACTACACCATGTGTTCCCTATAAATATACATCGACTATTGCTTCCAAACGTTTTAATCTCCAGAAAACTTGGCAGAGCCTAGATATATGTAAACTCAATCCTCCTTCCTGTTATGTTCTTCACCCTACAACTACAGTCCTGCTAATATAGTAAATAAGGAGGACCTTAAATCATTAATTTTAAAAGAGCCTAAATTTAGGGAACTCAGATCTGTTAACTGGCGTCACAATTTCATAATTTTGCATAATGGATTCTGTTGAAGATTACCAGACGATGGGAAAAACATGAAAAAGAATACATTGACTCATTTTCATAATGGGTAAAATGTATCAGATGTATGTTAATATCTTGCGTTAAGCGATTGAGGGGCAAAACTCAAACTAACTATCCTTCTGTGTTCAGTAATTCAAAAGTGAAAAAAGAATTATATTGATTACATGGTCAGTATGTACTGGTCCTTGCTGACAAAGCAGGTAATAATATTGTCGTTGTTTGTAAGGCTCATTATGTAGATTGTATTTTAGAGAAACTGGGATTTAATTCTACAAGTGGTAATCCAACATATACCCATAGTTCCCTTTCTAGGGAGGAAATTCTTTAAAATCGTGTCAGTTTTCAATATTTTTAATATTAAAAACAACCAAAATGAATTTGAACTACCATATAAATATTGGAAATCCGAAATTTCATAAGAATCCTTGCAAAGATACGGTACACAGCGGGTTCCAGTAAATGTTCTCCCAAGATTCTTTCTTTACTCTTCACTAAAATTTTAACAGTAATGAAGGAGAAACCCCAGAACTACTGTGCAAAAATATATTCGAGAAGTGTTGTAAATCAGATATGGATACTTAAAAACTACAAGGAACTTTTGGAAAAATTGAAATCACAAAATTTAACATACTAGTATTCAATAGCATGAAAACTTCCGACTTTTCAACTTTATATACAACCATTCCCCACAATTAATTACTGAGTATTTAAGTCAAGGATTTTTTATATCATTGACAGCTGCTTTTTCAGTGACAATGGAACTCTTGAATTGACATATCTTGTCATTGGTCATTTGCAAAATTATTTTGTTAAAAACATTCTGATACTCTGAAGTTGATATTAAAAAGATGCTTGAATTTCTGATTGACAATATCTATGTGGTTTTTGAAGACCAGGTCTTCCAATAATTTATTGGAATTCGAATAGGTACCAATTGCACCCCGTTATTAGAAGACATATTTTTGTATTCATGTGAAGCAGAATGTTGTAAAAATCTTAAACATACTTCATCCCAGTGAGCTTTAAATTAAATACTGAGTATACCACAGAGTCTTGGATATTTTACTTGAAAATACGTTAATGCCAAATGGTATTCTAAAAACTAAGCTTTATGATAAACGTGATGACTTTAAATCTCTTCTTACTTACGCAGTAATATACATTCATTACCTGCATACGGGGGTTATATGTCTCAGTTGATTCGATGCACGTGAGCATGCTCTACGTATTAACATTTGTAAAACAAGGTAACTATTGACAAACAAGTTTCTGAAACAAGAAAATAAGCAGTCTCGTTTAAAATCATCATTTGGTAAGTTCTATGGTCGATGCAAGAAGCTGTTCAGCAAATACAATTTATCATTACGTCATATGCTGACTGATGTTTTTCATACTAATTGTTAGGCCATTATATACACACTAAATTGTCGTTGGATTTTCCCGTTATTTTCCGTCTGTAGTAGCTGCAGATCTGTAGCTCTCCGAAAAAAAAATTATTGATAGACCGGTCTATCAATTTTTTTTCGGAGAGCTACAGATCTGCAGCTACGTCTGTAGATGACCAAACCTGATTATAAACATTTTCAATCCTTTTCAACAATGTATTTAATTAACAATTTTTTAAAATATTTATTACAAACAAAAACGTTTGTCGTATTTTCAAGTTCATAATCCTTTATCGTGTTCATGTTCTTCTTCGCCCTATAACTATTGTCCTGCTGGACACGACATTACAGGTGACGTACATATAGTTAATAATGAGGACCTTAGATCACTTATTTTAAAAGGTCCTAAATATAGGGAACCCCGATCTTTCAACTGGTATAGGAATTTCATAAATATTATGGATTCTGTTGAAAATTACGCCAGACGATTGGCTAGATATGAAAAAGAAGACGTTGAAACCCTGTCAGAATGGATTAAGTGTATCAGGTCCATGTTAAAGTCGCGAATTCAAAGATTGAGGGGCAATATGAAAACCATCTATCCTTCTGTGTTTAATAATCCAGAAGTGAAAAAAGAATTAGATAGATTACATGATCAGTACGTACTGGTCCCTGCCGAAAAAACAGGTAACAACTTTGTCTTCGTTTGTAAGGCTCATTATATGAATTTTATTTTAGAAGAACTTGGATTTCATTCTACAAATGGTAATCCTACTTATACTTATACTTCCCTTTCTAAGGGAGAAATTCTTCAAAATTATATGTCTGTTTTAAATATTTTTAATATTCCACAGAGTCAAATGAATTTGAACTACCGTATATATATTGGATTCCGAAACTTCATAAATATCCTTACAACAAAGATACATTGCGGGTTCCAGTGAATGTTCATCCAAGCCTCTTTCGTTACTCCTCACTAAGATATTGACAGTAATGAAGGAAAAACTTCAAGAGTACTGCGCAACAATATATTCAAGAAGTGGTATGAATCAGATGTGGATACTCAAAAATTCCAAAGAACTTTTGGACAATTTGAAATTACAAGAATTTTCCAAAATCAACAGCTTAAAAACTTACGACTTTTCAACTTTATACACAACAATCCCTCACGATAAATTAAAGTCCAGGCTTTTTGATATCATTGACAGCTGCTTTTTCAATAAAAATGGAACTCGTTCTGATTGCACACACACGTACTCTGAAGTTGACATCAAAAAGATGCTTGAGTATCTAATTGACAATATCTATGTGGTTTTTGGAGACCAGGTATTCCAACAATCCACTGAAATTCCCATGGGTACCAATTGCACTCCGTTATTAGCGGACCTATTTTTATATTCATATGAAGCAGAACTTGTGCAAAATCTAATGTGTGAAAAGAAGAAAACACTTGCTGTGGCCTTCAACTCGACATTTAGATATATCGACGACGTATTGTCAATTAACAATGGTCAATTCCATTCCCTGGTCGATACGATGTATCCTGGTGAGCTTGAGATAAAAGATACCACAGAGTCTGACACATCTGTTCCATACTTGGATATTTTACTTGAAAAAGACGTTAATTGTAATCTATTCAACTTCCCTTACTTATGCAGCAATATACCTTCATCACCTGCATACGGAGTCTATATATCTCAGTTGATTCGATACGCTAGAGCATGCATGCTCTACGTAAGAACAATTTCTAAAACGAGGTAAATTATTAACAAGCATGTTGATGAAACAAGAATATCAACAGTCTCGTTTAAAGTCATCATTTTGTAAATTTTATGGTCGCTACAATGACCTTGTCAGCAAATACAATTTATCGTTGAGACAAATGCTGACTGACGTTTTTCATACTTATTGTTAGTCCATTATTTATACACTGAATTGACGACGGATTTTTCCGTTATTTCCCGATCATGACAAGGAGCACACGGCGGGTGTGACCGGTCAGCAGGGGATGCTCACTCCTTCATGGCACCTGATCCTACTTCTGATGTTTGCTCTGCTCCAGTTTTGTATTGTTTTATGGACTTTGATATTGAATACTGTTCGTTATCTCCATATCCTTCTGTATATTCAAATTGCAAGGTATATGTATTTTCATTATTGATGAACTTGAGTTAACAAA